TGACCCTCATATTGAGTTCCTCACAACAATCAAATCGGAGGGGGACTTGCGTGAGCAGGTCTCCTCCTTTCACAGATGAATTACCGGCTACATTAGAACTCCTTTGCAGCAACGCCGAGGTGCTATACCCTTTGCACCCACTGCTGATACGTAATTTTCCCACTCCTGTAAGCAAAATGTCAGCAGGTTCCTTCCCGTCACATAGCACTGTTACACTGTCTATGGAAGGGGAGAAATATATCCATTCGTTATTCATTAACTGTACCCATACAGTAGTAGTTAATTTCGCTATTCTAGTTTCACAACTCTTTGGGATCCTCTCATTTGACTGCAGTAGCCTAATGTAACAAGACTCATGTACATGGCTAGACATTAAAGGATGTTTTTGTTTGCACACATATGAGTTGGAGTCCTTGGTTTTACATTGCCTTAGCTCGTCCTCGGTTAACATTAAGTAATATTGTCTTGCTTGATCAAGGCACAACATGGATTCAGCTGTATCAATGTACAGAAACTTATTTAATTCTAGCGCTATTGGTATTGGTGTCATTTTGAGTATCTTAAAATTTCCTCTGTTCACCAGTGGTAACTCTACCACGTAACCCAATATACCATCACTCAAATAGACATGTGTATCACAAATTCTAAACAGTAAGTTTATAGAGTCTTTGCTCAAGGGGAAGGGAGCCGTAGTTTCCTTAGGAAAAGACGGGAAACATCGTGTTAAGGCGTCCATCAGGTGGCTTGGGGGTACCACTTGCGGTTGCAGAATTCCCTTCCTCGCGTTAATAATGCTATCGATCACTACATCGAGGTTTCTTTGTAGAGTAATCAATGCCTCATTTACGCGTGCAATGTGGCTTTCTACCGTAATCTTATCAGCCAAAGCATTAGTAACTCGGGTAGTGTTTGAAACCACTGATTCTACATATGCCTTAATTTGGGATAGTCTCCTCTTTACGACATCCTCATTGTACTCCATATCCGAGAGGGTTTCGTTTATGGCCCCTAGAGTGGATTTTACTACAGACAACTGTTGTTTCAACAGGTTCGTCATGCTATCAGAATTTTCTTCAAAGTGTCGTATCTGCTCATTGTAATATTTAGCATCATCATTATCCATAGTTCCGAAAAGAATCTTACTAATTTCACCAACGAAATTAAGTACTCCCCTTCTTTTTGATCTTAAGCATTTTGCACGTGCTCCTAAACACGTCACTGAGGAAGTTGGCGCCCTGGTCAGTTAACACCGTATTAGGGGTCCCATATTTTAGAACAAACTGCGTCACAAACTCCCTAGCTACCGTCTCCGCGTCCTGGTGGCGCATCGGTGCGGCGATCACGTACTTGCTCAGGTCATCCTGAAAGGTTAAGATATATCTATTTCCAATTTCAGTTTCTGGCAGTGGTCCTGCTATGTCCAGGCTACACCTGTCGAATGGATTATCCGCCGTAGTCGTTATCTCCATTGGAGCCTTTTTCCTGGGTTTTAGTAACTTGTTCACCTGACAACTCCGGCACTTCATCACGTAGTCCTCGATTTCCCGTCTCATATTAGCCACGCATAACGCTCTTTGATCGCCTTGTAAGTCTTATTCATGCCCCTGTGCCCACCCAGGGGTGCGTCATTGAATTCATACAGAATTTGTTTCTTGGTGTCCTCGTCCAAATCTACCCTCTTGTCATCTTTCATTAAACTACCTATCCGACTGAGTGCGTCCGCATTCGTATTCAATGAACCCTTTTTGTAGAGTATCTCGTAATCATACTCCTCTAGTTTAATTTTCCACCGGAGTAACCTTGATCCTGGGTCCTTGACATTCATTACCCAAGTAAGTGGTTTAAGGTCGGTTACTATTTTGAATCTGCGACCATACAAATAGGGTCTAAAAACTTTACCGCCCAAATGATTGCAAGAAGTTCCTTCTCGCTGGTGGTATAATGAGTCTCAGCCTTGTTCAGGCTTCGGCTCGCATAGGCTATCGGCAAATCCTTTCCTATCTCCCCTTGTGATAACACGGCCCCTAGACCGTCGTTACTCGCATCCGTGGTGACGATAAATTCTTTCGAAAAATCAGGGTATTGAAGTATGGGCTGGGTGGTTAATTTGGATTTCAACCTGTGGAATGCATGCTCCTGTGCCTCCGTCCACTCAAACTTTGCATCCTTCTTCAATAACCGGTGTAAGGGTGACGCAACTCTATTAAAGTTTTGGATAAACTTCCGGCAGTACCCTGCCATTCCGAGAAACGATTTCAATTGCTTCGCGGTGGTGGAGGTTTGAAAATTCTCTAAAGCGCGGATCTTGGCGGGGTCCGGTCTCACCCCATTTTCAGTGATTACGTGCCCAAAGCAGCACGCTTCCTTCCTCAAAAATTCACATTTCTCAGGTTGCAGCTTCGATTTGTATCGCCTCAACCTTTCAAAATTTTCTCTTAATTTCATATCGTACTCTGCTAGTGATTCGGCATACATCACAATGTCGTCCAAAAATGAGAAACATCGCGTTCCAGTTAACCCAATAAGGACGGTATTCATCATCCACTGGAATGTGGCTGGGGCTGTCTTTAACCCGATATGCCCAGTGGCCATGTTTGGTGCTGAGCGCTGTTTTCTATATGCTCCTCTTGTAACTCGATCTGGTGGTACCCCATTACCATGTCCAAGCACGAAAAATACCGTATTTACGCATGTATAGGCCTCGTGCGTGTATAGGCCGCAGCACAATTTTCAGACAGAAATTATAGAAAAAATAATTTTGTTGGAATATTATTTCAGGAGTATTACACCCTGTATTACTATTTATGAATATATATATTTTTTAATTAAGTGTGATTTCGAATATTTCGAATAGTTTTCCTCTTGAATTTTTGGCAAAAAATGTGCGGCCTATACATGCGTAAATACGGTATTTACATTGTCCTAACTGATCTAATATTTCTGTTATGTCTGGCAGCGGGTAGCCATCCCCCATTGTCTTCTCGTTCAACCTTCGAAAGTCCACGACCATTCGCCATCGTTTTTCCCCATTCGCGCCCCCCTTTTGTGGTACCACTAGGATAGGGCTGTTCCACGGGGAATCACTTTCTTCTATGATCCCGTCGTGTAGCAATTTCGTGGCCTGTCTGTCCACCTCCTCTTTCTGGGCCTCCGGGAGTCTGTAGGGCCTCGTATTTACGGGTGACGTCCCCGGTACCAAATTTATAGAATGTTTTACTGCGTTAGTGCAGCTTAACTGGTCTCCTGGCACGGAGAACACATCTTGATATTCTAAACATATCTTGTTGAGGGACTCAAGCTCCTCGGGATTGAGGTGCTCAGTCCTCACCTGTTCCAAGACATCGTTGTCTCTGCACTTTCGCTTTTTTCTCTTTGTATCGGTTGGAGGTAATGCCATAACCTCCGGAATTTCCCTCAATTCAGCCACCGGTTCCTCAATCTCTACTTCATCATCCCTCGTATTTAGCATACTGGTTAAGACGTATCCATCTACAACCTTGGTCAGGGATCCTGCCATATATACTCCGTCTAGAACCTCCCGCTTTCAATTAGGCCTTCGGCGTTTGCGTTTCCTGCGGCGACCGGCAATTCCACTATTACCTCGGATCGTCTGGGTAGGGTTATTGTCTTGACAGCACGGTTCAGTTCTATCGTTCATATCCTCCCTCCCTGCGGCTGAGTAACCTTTTCCGCATTTCAAAATCTATATGTCGAAACGTCAGAGTTCCGGTTTCGTAGCAAATCTTTGCTTGTGTCTGACGAAGGAAGTCCCGTCATACGATCCCGTCGCACACAATGTCCACCTGTTCACTAACCAGCTGGAACGTGAAGGGAACTTCTACACTTCCCTCTCTTATTCTGGTTTCTACGTCCCATGGGACTCGGTTACCGACCCATCTACACTCTTAATTTTTACCCTGTCTCTGGGTTCGAAGGCGACCGTTCCGATCAGTTTTGGCATTTCAGGATACTAACGTCAGCCCCACTACCATGGAGTAGGTACAACTGGGTTTCGTTACTTACATCTAGGTTCAAACCCACATAATAGCAAAGATTCTTGTCGGTACAGCCTATTGAGTAGAGGCGACCGTTGGACGGCTGTTCTCCGTCGGCCACCTCCCGTTTCCCTGGATTAGGGCTTTCTCTCTCTCTCGGCGGCCTTCTGCAATGTCTGGCCACGTGTCCCCTCTCTCAACAACGGAAGCAAGTAAAGTTTTTGGTATTATCTGGCTTCCTTGCAATAACTGGGTTAGCTCTCATCTCCCTTCTTTCCATTTTATAACATTTACTGCTCGTGTGTCCCATTTTCCTACACGAACTGCACCTGCTTGGGCCGGTTCCCTCATGCTTATACCTATCATGCTTCGATACGATGGCGCTTTCCTCCACGAGTGCTGTTTCTGCTATCTCGTCGAAGTCTCTATAATTCCTACTTCGGACTATAGTTTCGATCCGGTTCGGGTGCAAGCCTTGCACGAAACAGATATTTCTTAACCTGTCGGATAAATCAAGTATCCCTTCCCGTGCCCCTTCTGTACTATTTAGTAGGGCGGCTTCGCGGAACTGTGAACCCAGTGTCTGAATCCTTAGGATCCATTCCGACATTCTCTCGTCTTTGCCGTGTTTCGACCCGAAGAGTTGGTTCGCGTGGAAGTCTAGCGTTCTCTTTTCGACATACGAGTTTTTCAAAAATTCTTTTAATTCCGACCAATCCTCAAGATTTCGGTGTATTATAGACGTCCTTGGCTCCCTACTAATGCGCGTCAGGACGAACTTATGCAGTGTGTCTGCCTGGTCGGTGTTTATTACGGAAAAAGCGGTATCTACAGTCGCTATGAAGGCCACAACCTCGTTCTTATTTCCCTTGAAATGGGGTATCAATTTTAGCGCCTCGCCTAAACTTATATACTCCTCGGCCATGGTGCCTCGTCTACGGGTTTCTGCAATCGGGGTACTGGAGCTACTGGGCGTGACTGGCATGGAGATTGAGCAAAACTCACCGTTACGCGATCAGCCCACTGCACTGGTTCCTGTCCGCTCCGATGTCACGTTCCGACGGCCCGTTCTGATGACTCGTTCTGTTGACTCGTCCTGTTGCCTCCCTACGGTTCTTTAGATCAGCTCCACTCTTGCAGCTTCACGTTTGCAGTCCCGCGACCTCAGTTTTAGCGTCTCTCTTGCAGCTTCACGCTCCCTCCGTGCACTCACTCCAATTACCCCACATCTGACACCAGAAAGTTTATGTTGTATCCCGAAGTTCCTCCCTGGGTGCCCCGCGCTCGTGTATCGTGGATGTTGCCAGCGCACAAGTCAGGTCTGGTGATTCCTATGCTGGGCGCGCTTGGAAAACGGTGGGCTCCGGGGTTGCAGAGGAGGATCAATTGGTCCGACAAGAGTGATGTAATCAACAATTGTGTTTATTAACTATTTATGTTGTCTACATATACGCCACACTGAGGCCCGTTTGCTAGGGTTCCAGGGAGGGAATGCTATCTTTGCTTTACCTAACCGCTGTCTCGGTCGACGGCTAGTCTCAGACTGCTCTGTGTCAGACCGGGCTTTTATTCTTTGTTTTAATAATACCACGAGTCGTGAGGAACATTCCAGAGCTAGTGCTCTGCTAGTTTCTTGTTTGTGTCCTGGCCATTTTGGGGGGGGGGGACTTCGCTCCCTGTACCCTTATCTACGTGCTTCTCAGAAACCACAGCTGCGTAAGTCGGAGGTCACTCGACTGACCCCCTTGGTTATCTCACTACATGATTGTGTCCTGTGTCGCTACCATTTCTGTTATACTTTATTAAGAATAAATGCTAACGAAATAACGTAGCGTATACAACACCATTACCAGTGAAACAGTGCATATATAATATTCCGCTAGAATATTGGAGTTCTTACCATTTACTCCCATGGAAAACACATTGAACAGAATTCTAAGAAGACTAATTCATTATTATTTTTGAATGATTGTTTGTTGTTACTCTAATTTCTTACTTCAGCCTTGTGTTTCTTCATCTTTAATTATTTCGATTATTCAGAAAATATATTTCTTAATAGTTTAAATATTTTATACTGATTCACTGTGGACAATAATTTAGCTCATAATTTGCTTCTATTTGGGTTTGGATAATTTAGCTTTATTTTTGTAAAACCTAATGATTTACTTATAATAACCAAAAGTTTTCAGTTTAGGAGAAGGGGGTAACAATTACCCGTTTTCATTTCGTATTACTCTAAGCAAAACAACAAAAATGATATTATGTTCTGTGGTAAAGTTTCTGGAAGGAACACATTTTCTAACAAACGAACACAAAATCTGTTCCCAGTTACATGTTACCTTTTTCTTCTCATTTGACTTGATTAGTGTGTTTTTTTCCATAGCGTCAGAACTTGTCTGTCCTTCTGTCGGAAAATTGATCGTCCGAACTGCTAAATAAATTGCGATTAAATCTGATTTTATGGACCGCCTCTGTGGTCTAGTGGTCAGAGTTCCTGGCTATAGATCCAGAGGTCCGGGTTCGATTTCCGGCGCTACAAGATTTTCTGAGAAGTAGTGGGCCTGGAACGGGGTCCACTCAGCCTCGAGAGGATAATTAAAGAGCTATTTGAAAGAAATAGCGGCTCCGGTCTAGAAATCCGAAATCAACGGCCGTGGGGAATATAATAAATATTATTTGTAGTGGATTCATCTGGTTAAGAAGATGGTTCAGCGTAGGGTATTGTGAATTTTACAATGAATCCTGGAGTTTTCGTGAAAGGCGGGGAATTTCTTGTTCGTCTATTCCAAGGGTATCCAAACTACGGCCCGCGGGCCACATGCGGCCGCGATGTGATTTTATCCGGCCCGCGAAAAATTCTGCAGAAATGCGCCAATTGAACTAATTTCCCAATGAGTACTGCTAAATGTGATTCCGAGCTTACTGACCTGACATATTATACTACAGTTCGATGGCTTAGCCGTGGAAAGGTTCTTTCGCGCTTCTTTCAGCTCAGGAATGAAACTGATATATTTCTTACCGAGAAAAACCATCACGAACAACTTTTATCAGATACCGAGTGGCTTTGGAAATCAGAACTTTTGCTGATCTGTTGAACCATATGAACCATTTGAATTTAAAGTTGCAGGGTGAAAATAACTTAGTCTGTGATTTATTTGCAACTTATCAAGGCATTCAGAGCAAAGTTGATACTTCTGGAAAGGCAAGTGAAAAATTGTAACTTTGTTCATATGCTACACTGTGCACAGTTGCATAAAAAGGGTGAAGCTGAATTTCCTTCCTCGTTCTCAAATTTAGTCATTTCAGATTTCAAAGAACAATTTCGGAAGCGATTTGCTGATTTGGATGCCAGTGTTCAGGAAATTAAATTATTTCAAAATCCGTTTGACTGTGATGCTGCAGATGTCCCAAGTCAAATTCAAATGGAAATTATTGAACTTCAGGAAAATTATCATATTAAAGACAAATACAAGGAAGGAAATTTGATCGAATTTTATAAATTTCTGAACTCTGAGCAATTTCCAAATTTAAAGAAATTTTTGCTTGTAAATTTATCTGCATTTTGGGACGACATATCTGTGTGAACAACCTTTTTTCCAGATGAAGTAGATCAAGTCGAAATACAGGCCAAATTTATCCGATGAACCTTTACAGTTGCTACTTGATTAGCGTTTCAAAATTTGAACCTCAATTTAATCAAATTTTAAGAATGCAAAAAGAGTTCCATCATTCACATTAACTGTTTTATTATAATTTGTAATGAAAATATGTGCATTTGTTGCTACTGTCTGTTGTCATTAATATACGATAATTTATTCTCATGTACTTTGTATTTAGTTAATGAAATTCTGTGCTTTCAATAAAACTCATATACCTAGAGTTATTTGTTATGGCGCAAGGGTTATGTACAAGTAGATATGTTTTTCTTTGGGGGGTGGTAAATTTGGAATAAGTGTATCTAGACTTTAAGATTAAGATTAAGAAACATAAATGATGAAACGTACCAGGAAGCTTGGGTTTGCAAAGAAGTGTAACAGGCAGTAGCTTAGTATTCAGAATGTTAGCGCGACAGCGTAATAACGCTGACATTGAGGAAGATGCTATATGAAGTAGGTCATGAAAAGTATGTCATGAGGGAAACGCTGAGTCGGAGAGGACGGTAGACCTGAAAGAGCCAACCCCCTTTCGATAAACAGCAAATGAGTGGGCCACACTGACCCAAAATCACGTCAGAATGGGCGGGTGAATACACCCCTGGAATCCAGCGAGTCAGCTAAAAGAGGATACATAAACTCTAGAGGAATCAATCAAAAAACTTTTTTTAATATTATTAATTGTCAAGGAGTCAGCCGTCGGCTATCGCCGAGAGAGCGATGGCAATGAGTGGGAGTTGGTTGGTGATGGCGAGCGTGTGTTTTCTCAGCTCACGTAAGTATACTTACTTCATATAGCCATGAACATAAAGTGTGATAATATTAAAGTGCAAACCCCAGGAAGAGAAAGTGAAAACTATATGGACTAGGTTTACAGAGAAAGAGAGACCGAGGGATAGGGCACCCAATAGCAGGGTGACAGGATGGAACTAATGTGTGTACTACAGGATAGTAACCCAAATGTAATGCGAACCGACGAACGTCGGCAAAGTATGTATATATTATGTATATAACGACATAGGTGAATAGAGTAGGATAGAAATGCGATGTGATGTTAATTGAACTTAGCCTCCCCTCAAGTGTTACCCTCCTCCCCGAATGTTCCAGCGTCTCCTGAATCCTGTAGGAGAATTGCAAACTCATGCCGAGGCGGCAGCGACGTCAGTGATTTTAAATTTACCTGAGACCCCCCTGAGACTTAAAGAGACAGTGACAGCGGTGAGACAACAAATCCACCCCTGTCGCAGAAGAATAATAACAAGATGGTGGCTGCACGACGTCTTGGTAGCAGTGGCGGGACACCTCCACGCCCCCTGTCAACACGGCGTAACATTATTAATTTCTCAATTTATCTGGCCCGTTGAAAGTGCTGAATTGCCTAATGTTCCGAAAAGTTTGGAGACCCCTGATATAGATGGATACAGTCCTCACCGTCACACCCGTCTGAGGTACATATTTCAACATCTACTACTGGGAGTCTCAATAATGTCATGTCTGTTTGATTTGTTTCATCCTGGTCCGCCACACTAGCAATATTAAACAAACTCCGTGGCTTTAGTAAACAAAAGAAACCATACCGACCGAGCGGCCGCCGCTTGTCGCCAAGCTAAGACTACACTTTATATTTTACTACATGATGCGACATGAACCGTACGGATGTCGTCGACCGATGTCGCTGTGTGTGTTCCTAGCCTTAGTGCCAACTTTAGCGGATAGAGGGTTTCGCGTGGTCAGCCCAACGGATCCCCACGGCCGTTAATTTCGGTTCTCTAGACCGGAGCCGCTGTTTCCTTGAAATATCTCCTCAGTTATCCTCACGAGGCTGCACTAGCAATATTATAAAAGGTTAATCAACTCCGCCCAACGTGAATCACAAAACGTTTTTTCTTTCTTTCCTTTTCGGTCTTTCATCCTTGACATATTTCAGTCTTAGAGACCATCTTCAGAAGGAAATATATATCAATTCAGGCAAAAACATTGTAATAGTAGTTTCTGCCCATATTGATATATATTTCCTTCTGAAGTTGGTCTCTAAGACTGAAATATATCAAGGATGAAAGACTGAAAGGTAAAGAAAGAAAAAACATTTATCAGTCACACTGGGTTGAGCTGATTAACCTTTTATAACACCAAAAGTCTGCTTTCTTCACACTGCTTCCTAGAAACGTATACCCAAGTCTTTGGAGGGCTTTTATTAACAACATTCGAAACCTGCTTCTGAAAAATTCTTTCCAGTTTTATCATCAGCACCACAGTAACAGCCACGTAAAATGACCAGTCGTGATGGAGAACCCGGTTCCTCTGAGCTGAGCTCTCTGCCGGTCTAAAATGAAGCGAATACTTTGCATACGTAAGTACGTGACAGGATGTACTGCTTGGCAGTCAAGTGATCTCAGCGGAATTTTATGTAACAGGTCGGAACCGCTACACCGAAATCGAGGTCTGAGTAAGATTACGCAAGGGAATTAAATACCACTCACTGCATGTGTGTCTGGGGTACAGATCAATGCTCGCCCAGAGCTTATCCCTGTAACAGGCCGTGGAGGCCCATGGGGTTGTCAGATGCTGAGAATCCAAAATTTTCTAGAAAATCGGCTCACAGTTAGCGGTGAATTTGTCAGCCTTAAGCGCCGGCCGTCCTTTACCCGTAGGAAGAATCCTGGTACTCATTTCTGTTAGAGGTTGAGTCAAACCCACGGTCATAGTGCGGCTGGAAGAATTAAGCCAATTGAAATTTCCAATAACCACATCTGGAATCGATCCCGCGACCTTGCGACTTTTAGCATAGTGCCTCGACCAACTACGCTACCGCATGCCACATTATAAGTAGTGGTCATAAATTATTCACCATATTTCATACTTACGTACTCGTAAATTACAAA